TATATATATATATATATATATATGTATGTATGTATGTATATAATTTTCAGTACTAAAAATGGGAATCAAGATCAAACCACGCAAACTAATTCTAGCACAATAAAGTTCAATGGGGACGTACAATAGATACATTTAAGGGCAAGGTACAAAAAAAGGTAACACAGTAATGTAATATGATACCTGCACGGTGAAACCTGACTCTATCAGCAGCAGTTCGAACAGTTCGGGATCCCCGTCCAGCGAGTTGAAGCTCCTCCATCCCTCCCGGTTGTTTTCTCTCGTCATCTCTTCCCGCACAAGGCTGTACACCTCGTGCAGCTTCGTCTCTCTGGAACAGAGAGTAGGAGCAGTCAGGGATACTCTCCAAGCAGAGGTTGTGGGGGAATGATCGTTACCTTTTTATATATATGGCTGTTGTTTTTTTTGTCGCTACCCCCACCAACCTCTGCCGCAAGTCGCAGCCATTGAGGACAAGGGGAGGAGTAGTTCGTCGGTGGCCGGCGACCTTCTCTGGCTAATAGATACTGCCTGGCTTTATGCCACCGAAAGGGATCTGCTTGGAGAGCAGTCAGGGAGAGAAACTTTTATGATATATCCGTGAATAGTTTCATCAGGTTGGTAAGTCACTAAGTAAAGAGACTCGATCTCTTTTTACACAACCAAGTATTTTATTCAGCCGACAGAATTGCCCTGAATAAAAGACTTGGTTGTGTAGGTTGAAAGAGTCTCTTTATTACTTTGTTATGATATATCTTCAGCTTCTGCGTCGGTACTGCTCTGTCATCAGGCATATTGATTTTCACCTAAGTTGCTTGTACATGTATCCCACTGCTGACACCATGTTATGTCCTAATGATTGTCTATTGTAAGGAAATTCACATTTTTTTATTTAACAAAAAAGCATCTTATCAAACCTTAAGGAAAATAGCTTAAGATGAACAACATCTTTTTAAGAAAGTTACCGATGAAATATTTCCTACCTTGACAGCCCCCCTTTACCCTGCACTCCACTGTCTGCCGATTCCGGCGTTCCCTCGGTGATGGCGGAAAGACGGTCTCTCTTCCGGATCTTCGACTTTTGCTCCCCGTCCTCCACATACTGCACTACCCAACCCATCCGCCAGGGCCACTGTCCAACCAGCACCACCCACGATGCAACCTGGGGAGGGACGGTAACGGATTCATTTTAGTTGTACCGAGTATGCAAATAGCTTCATTTTAGTTGTCCTGAATATGCAAATAACTTCATTTTAGTTGTCCCAAATATGCAAATGAGGTCTATCTGACAGACTGGCCCCTCCCACCTGCTTTGGTCCGACCCGTCCCAGCATGCCCCTGTTCTTGATGACGCGTACGGTCATGCGCAGTACGTGGTAGAGGCTGCTGATGTGCCGCGCGTTGCCGAGGACGTACGGCATGATGTCATTGTCCTCGTTGTCATCTTGGTCGTGGTGAAGAACCTGATGAAAAACATGTTATTTTAGTTGTACCGAGTATGCAAATAGCTTCATTTTAGTTGTCCCGAGTATGCAAAGCTTACAGTTAGATGCGACAGGTTGTTCGGTGCAATATACCTAGCTAAGATACAGTCACAGAGATACAGACACAGACCTGGACGACCCTCTCTAGGAACGCCGCCACCTCCATGTCCGATCTGCGGTCCCTCCAGGCGACGTTCCCGCCGTCGTGTCGCGCCGAGTCCTTCCCGCGCACGGCCCGCTGCCACAACTGCTTCCGTCCGCTCACGTTCGCCTCCGGGAGGCAGACCGAGAAACGCACGATTCGCTTCATGTACTCGTACCTACAGGGGAATAAAACACATGGGGGAAAATAAGGGTACGTCATCAGTCATGTCTGTTACACTGTCCCCCCTCCAACCAGCATACGTCATGGGTCATGTCTGTGATGCAGCAATAATCACTTCAAGTACTCGTACCTACACAGCAGGCAGCGGCAGAGAATGTTATTGTACCCAGAACCATGCCTTTTTATCTAGTTCATGATGCCTGAGTGGGTTAGGGTTCTAAGGATCAGGCACGGTTCTGGATAGTCTCTATTGTATCCAAAACTGTACATGTGCCTATCTAGTTCTATGCCTGAATGGGTTAGGGTTAGGATCAGGCACGGTTCTGGATAGTCTCAGCCTATACAAGAATGAAGGTTTGCCCCTGGCATGGTTCTAAACATGAGAGAAGGCTGTAGAGTGAAGGAGAGAGAGAAACATATTATTATTAAATACATACCAAGTAAGACACAAAACGCAATAATTCCTTGAATAAAATATGAAGTAACATACCCGCTAGACTCCGTTGGCACCGTCTGCGGAAGCTCTGTCTTGAGACAGTTGACGACGGTCTTCTGGTCCACGGCCAAGACGGTGATGAAGTTTGCGTCTTCGTCGGACAGGAGGATGTTCATCGCCTCGAGAACGCCGACCACCCGGTCCGCCGCGCAGCAGTCAAGGTCGTCAATCACGATCACCACACGGTACTGGACACGCAGCACGCACTGCAGGAACCGCAGCAGGGAGTCACTACCAGCACCTGGTAGCAAACGGACAAGAAACATGATCAGGAAAGCAGAGTATCCAGGACTGGACACGCAGCACGCACTGCAGAAACCGCAGCAGGGACGTCACCACTAGCACCTGGGAACAAACGGACAAGAAACCTGATCAGGAACAGAGACTATCTAGGACTGGATCCGCAGCACGCACTGGAGGAACCGCAGCAAGGATGATACTACTAGCACCTGTGGAAACGGCAGGGCAAGGAATGCTAGCTTTATCCAGATTCATGCTCAGGCACAGTCCTGGATAGTCAGTGACACTCAGTGTGTATCCAGAACACTGTGGCTGGGGCTGATCTACGTTCTTGGATTTGTGGAAGCTATCCAGAACTGTGCCCAATTCTAACCCTAACCCAATTCGGATATAGGACTAGATACATGTAGATGTAGGTACGGTTAAAACAAACAAACAACAAACAAACAAACAAACAAACAGATAAACAAACCTCCCACTTGACCAGTGACATGAAGCCGAGCTGTTCGGCAAAGTTCGGCCTCTGCATCTCGGCATTTAGCTTGTCCTTCTGCGACCGAACCACCCGTTTCGCCACATTCACCGCCTCAATAACCCCCGCCACGATCGCGCCCAGGCCGAGCACCCCTCCCACCGAAGTGAGCACGCCCGTTGCCGTGGAGACGGTGACGTTACGGAGCTGTTCGATGCCGATGACGCTGAGGTAGATGCCGGCGGCAGAGAGCAGCAGGACGAAGAGAGTCACGAGCACGGCGGCGCGAAACCAGACACGCCGCGGAAGGCTTCTCTTTTGGCACATCTCAACTTTCCTCTGCAGAGACAAAATTTTGCATTTCTAGGCTCATTTGCATATCTGTGACTGAACAAGGCTCATTTGCATTTCTGTGACTGAACAAGGCTCATTTGCATATGTAGAGACTACTGTAGCTGTGGCCCGCCGTCATACCTACCATTGTGCAGCTGTAGAAGCACGTGTGGTACCCGTGAGCCACCGTACCAGTACTATGATGCAGTGAAAGAAGCATGTGTGGTACCCGTGGGCCACAGTACCTACCATGATACAGCGGTAGAAGAAACTTAGTAATGTACCTGTGGGCCACCGTACCTACCATGATGCAGCCATAGAAGAGACTTAGAAAATGTAGCTGCGGGCCACCGTACGTACCATAATGCAGCGGTAGAATCGCGTAGGCCTTACGCCGATGACGGCTTCCACAGTGTCGCACAGGCGGGTCACGATCCCGGCCCACAATACCTTGCAGCCGGAGAACTCCCAGGCGTTGAAGTCCACCCAGATCACCTGGTGAGGCAAGGAATGACATGAAACGTCTTGTAGCGTGAATAGTTGCTGGTTTATCCTATCCAGAACCGTGCCTATCTAGTTCTGTGCCTGAATTGGGTAGGGTTAGGATCAGGCACGGTTCTGGATAGTCTCTATTGTACCCAGAACCGTGCCTATCTAGTTCTGTGCCTGAATGGGTTTAATAGGGTTAGGACCAGGCACGGTTCTGGATAGTCTCCGCGTATCCCGAGAACGTTTCTGGATACCCGTGGACTTATGCCCTGGGGGCATGGTCCTGGATAAAGCAAGGTTCTGGATAGTCTATCCAGTTTATCCAGAACTGTACTTTATCTAGAACCATGGTCAGGCACAGGACTTATCCAGAACCTTGTTTGATAATTGTTCTGGATACAATAAGCCCTTTCCTGGTAGTTTTAATATGGTTCTGGATAAAATACGGTTCTGGATACAGTACGGTTCTGGATAAAGCACGGTTCTGGATAAAGCACGGTTCTGGATAAAGCACGGTTCTGGATATTAAAGCACGGTTCTGGATAAAATACGGTTCTGGATACAGTACGGTTCTGGATAAAGCACGGTTCTGGATAAAGGACGGTTCTGGATAAAGCACGGTTCTGGATAAAGCACGGTTCTGGATAAAGCACGGTTCTGGATAAAGCACGGTTCTGGATATTAAAGCACGGTTCTGGATATTAAAGCACAGTTCTGGATAAAGCACAGTTCTGGATAAAGCACAGTTCTGGATAAAGTATGGATCTGGATACAACAACCCTTTTAAGTATTAAAAAATACCTGGTAGCGCTCCGGCTCTGGCACGTCAGCTGGCGCGATGCAGGGCGGATCTATGAGATCCAGGTAGATCCCGAGGATCCAGTGCATCGGGTTGGATCTGCGCCTGAGATCTGTGCCGCGCGCGAAGAACAGGACCTGCAACAAGTAGTTGTGACAGGTTTAATATCAAACATAAACTGGTTTACGGAAAAGCCTGGGTACCTTCCAGGCCTGGCTACCAGGCCTAGCTACCTGGCCTGGTCACCGATTTTTATGTAAATGGCTTTTTTTACCCCTTGAGGCACATTGAAAGCGCCCTCAGGTGATACGTATCCCCTGGTGAAATAAAAACAAACAAACAAACAAACCATGAGGCAGGCGAGGTATGCCAGCAGGGTGGGGGGCAGAAGAGCGATCCATGCGGTTTGGTGCAGGACTGCAGTTGTAATGACGGCCGCTAGGGTGAACAGGAACGTCAGAAGCAGCGCCGTGAAGATCCGGAAAGGAAACGGAGTCAGGTCGTCTTCTTGGTCTGCTGCGGCTTTTCTCGCCTGCTTCTCTGCGATGATGCTGTTTGTTTCCTCTGTATAAAAAAACAAAAACAAACAAACAAGCAAACAATTAGGTTTGGAAGAGCTTGAGAGAGAGGGAGAGAGAGAGAGGGAGAGAGAAGGAGTGAGAGTGAGAGAATGAGAGAGGGAGAGAATGAGAGAGGGAGAGAGAGAAGAGAGAAAAGGAGAGAGGAGGGAGAGTGGAGTGAGAGAGGTAGGGAGAGAAAGATAGAGGGAGAGAGAGAGTGAGGGAAGAGAGAAGGAGGGAGACGGAGAGGGAGAGGAGAGAGGGG